CATAAGAAGCAAGACCCAATTCGCTGACCTATTTACTACGCATTTCGCAACCAGCAGGAGGTGCCCAAAATCGGTGACCTGTTTGCTAAACATTGTTCATCTCACCGCAATGGTCAACGACGTCCAGCATCCAGACTTGCGCTAGGAAGCTGCCAAGTTCACGAAGGCTGAAGAGGCATTGGGATCTTGGTTAGAGTTGAACGACAAGCAAAAAAGAATTGAAGAAGAAGCGAGGAGCAGCAAGCAACGTCGTAAGAGTAAGTCGCCAAAGAGAAGTCGGTCACTCCGCAACAAGCGAAGCAGGTCACCAAGAACAAGGAGCAAGTCTCCCCACTGGAGTTCCATATCAGGTGGGCGATCCAAATCCCCACCAATTCAGAACAGGAATTACACTGCCCTCAATGCTAAGAGAGGAAATTTTAATGCAAATAAAGACATCCAAATACGTGAGATGGCCACCCAGGATGAGAGGCAACCCCGCTAACAGAAACCCTAATAAGTATTGTCATTTCCACTGCAATATAGGCCACAACACTAAGAACTATAGAAACCTAAAGCTAGGGGCAAAGTGACTAATTGACCTCACACTACCTTAGAAGGCTTAGCCGATCTAACCAAGCTTACCAAAGGCCAGATTACCTAGTTGAGCTAACCCAACTGAGCTCACCTAAGCCAATCAACTTGGTTGAACCAACCTGGACTAGTCAAACTGGCCTAATACCAACTCATGGCATGTGCATATGGGCAACCAAGGGAGCAACAAGTCACATGTGGCATTCCTCATTCAATGCCTAGGTAATGCCTAGCCACATGGTACCAGCTTAGGTGATGCAAGCAATAAATGTAATCTACATGGAAAATCATTACAAAAATGGCCATCTCACCTATAAATAGGCAAGGCAACAGAAGGCAACTATTTCATGCTTTCATAAACTCCTGTACACCCTCCTACCCTAACACATCTCATTTCATCTCACTTCACCTCATACCATGTCTCAGTGAGTTCTTCAATTCATCTTTACTTTTCACATTACTAACTTAACCATCAAAGTCCACACCATAGAATATTTACCACAAGGCCTCTAACACTCTTATAATCACAAATCACAAATTCTTTGCAACAGCCAAAGTACCAACCCAAGGTGACACCTCATCAATCATCTTTAGCCAATGTGACATCCTCTCAACTAGGGTCTACAGCAATAAAAGATAATAGTTGGATAATGATCATCAACCAAGTTATCAACTAAATTAATACCTAGGTTACTAAAAACGGAAGGACAATGGTTGTAGAACTTCTGTTTGACTAAAATGTTCCAATTTTTTAATTCAGTTCCTCTTTAATTTTAAGGCCAAATTGTAATTCAAATAACCATTTTCTCTTCATTCAAATCCCTCTCATTAAAAAAAAAAAAAGAAAAAAGAAAAGAAACTCGAGGAAACTTCGAAAGAGAGGCTCTCTCTAAACAAAGAGAGAAGAAACCTCTAGAAACTCCAAAGAGAGATGTGCACCAGTTCTAGGCCTCGTCCGTGTATGATATATCCAGCACACATGTAACTTTCATTGTTTTCATCTTCTTCCATCAATCCACTAGGGTGGCTCCCCCTGGGAGTCCCCCCCCCCCCCCATTTTCCTTTTCTTTCTTCCTCCTTTCTCTCTTTTTCTTGTTTTCTTCTCTGCTTCTCCCCTCTCCCCTCATTTCTCTCCCACTTAATACTTTCATTTTGTTGTTTTTATTCTTCATCCTTCTCCCATCCCCATCGTTTTTTACTCTCACTCGTTATTCTCCTTTATTTTGTTTTTCCTTTGTTTCTGTTGTGCAGGGATTTTGGTACAGGGGGCTAACTCTTCATGCATTTGGTGTTGGTGGGAGCCACAATCACTGCTTTGATTTGCCACCCATGTCTGTTCCCTGATTATTTTCCACCGTCGGTTGCAATTCTTAGTAGCGGTTGTCGTTTCTTCGTGGTGGTTGCGGTTTCTTGGTGCAGTTGCATTTGGTAGCGGCAGTAGTTATTTGGGGATTTGTCATTCTTTACGGTTTTCTCTAATTGTGCTACTTTGTTCTTTCCTTTGAAGGCCCCTCCTGTCTTTTTCCCTCAGTTTTGGTGGGTGGAGATTTTGGTGGATGGAGATGCTCTGGAATTATGCTTCGGTGACTCTCACCGTTTGTCAATTACAAGTCATTTATCTTCCCTTTTATCCACAAGTAATTATGTGTATTTTGTTATTTCTAAGAATTTATTTCACTTTCTTGTTTCATACTATTACCAACTCTTTGTATTCATGCAAGTTTCTTGATGGAATGTGATGCTGCGCGATCCGGGCATTCCTAACTGGCCAAAACTTGGCTCCTAACTAGCAATAGAGGGTACCTGAGGAAAAGGATGAGATGAAGAATCCCTGGGGATCTCGCCCAGCGGGAACACTCTTATGCTTAAGTTAGAGTTCAATAAGAAAATGGAGAGTATGGAAGAAGCTAGGAATGTAGAAAGCGCAGAGATTGAGATTACCCTGGCCCCTTGGGGGCTGTGGTCCTTTTATAACGGGCATCTACCAAATCAGGCGCAACCGCCACTACCAGATCGAGTGCAACCGTCACTGTCCTCCTATGACAGCCGTTGTTTCCGGGGCTGAGGTGGCAGGCACGGGCCGTCTCTACAGGATGCGTACCTATCGGGTATGAGGCACATTTTAGAGGTGGCAGGTACGGTGCCGCCTGCCAAGAGGCAGGGGTGCAGCCTCCAGGTTCGGCAGGTGTTGTCAGAGAGACATTTTCTGGACCTTCGAACTATCTTGAGCCGAGCCGCATTTTGCCGAGCTTCCTGTTGCCGAGGTACTGGTGATGGGCTGAGCTACTATCTACCTGAGGCGCATCCCCAATAGAGGAGACAAGGGCGTCGGCTCGTGGTGTCCCTACTTCGAGACACCCAAGTCGGATCAGGGTGTTCCCTTGGAAAAGGCTTAGAGCTCATCGGGAAGAGCTCGGGACCCAGGAGGAGCTCGGGCACTGAGAGAAGTTCGGGATCTCCCACACTTTATGGGAGTCAAGGTTGGTCGGGCGCTAGTCCCCGACAAGTCACTTAACCTGCCGAGCGGCCAATGTTAGACTCAACGGGTCCCTCCCGTCAAGTCACGGTTGTGCTGTTAGATTGAGTTGTTCGTCAAGCCAAATCACGCACACGTGTCCCTGTGCTACGAGGTTGGGCCAAATCACCCTCCATGAGAACTATGTTTTACTTCAAACAAAAATCCCTCTCATCAAGTTTCAAAAATATCAATACGCCTGATATGCCAGTAGAGGCATAGCAGGCAGTATCAATAGTTTTTTTTTCAAATGTAGTTCAAAGGGGGTGGTTTAAGGTTCATCCACCCCCCGAATTGGTCAAAACCCTAATACACCTTCTATAGGGGCATATTAGGAAGCTTATGATATGATACATATCAACTGATACAAGCCAATACGTATCAATATTTTGAATCTTAGTCACTTCCCTCTTATTAAATCTTATATTTAGGGTTATATTTAGGGTATTAACTCCATTCACTTATTGAATTCTACATTAATTAACCATTTTAAAGAAAAAAAGTATGACAAAGGGTCAGGTAGTCCAACAATCTGACCCAGCCTTCGGACGGGCTTGAACACACATTTGAGCCCACGGACTTGACCTCATGCCTAAAAGCCCAAGCCTGACTATATTAGGAGCCAAGCTCAGGATTTGTTAAAAAAGTCCAACCCAACCTATAAGTTAAATCAAAAAACCCTAATATCCTAACCCCTCTTCTCATTCATCTCTTTCTTGTCTAAGCCAATTAGTCGAACCTCTTAGTTTTCACAATGACTCACAACCTCACACCCTAAGGCAAACACTCGCTGATGCACAACTAGTAAACTCCAACAGACCAGCGTGAGTCTTCTCTCTCTTTCTCTCAAACACGAACTCAACATCAACAAACACAATCACCGACAATGCATCCTTTCTTTTGTTAGGTCGAACTTCGAACTCGAGCTTAGGCCTAACAAAATCCTATTTATGAAGAGTAAAAACAGGTCTAAAAAGAATAATTATTTTTATTGATAATATAAATAAAATTCAAATCTAAAACCAACCCAAATTGAATTATTTTCCTATTTGGTGATAAGCTAACAATTAAACCTTTAAAATTAAAAAAGTGAACCATTATAAGTTATAATTAAACAATAACAATAATGAAAAAAATATATGAAGATAGGCAACATTATAAAATACAAAAAATTGTAAAAAACATTTTAAACACATTTCTAATAATATATATTTATCATATATTAAACAAAAGCAAATATAATAAATAATAATAATTTGGGATAAGTTGACTACAATCCCAAACTATAGATAATATAAAAAATTTAAAAACACATTATATGTTATCACCATCGATTGCATGCAAAACACGTACATATTCAATTTATCACATAACATCTTAAAATCTTAAAAATCTGACACCCTGTTAAGCAAATGGGCAATAGCACTTGCACCGATGAGATGATGACCACTGCCGGTATTTAACCCATGCATCTACCTGGTCAATTTCTCACTTTAAATAGATCAAAACAACTAGTGGAACCCTGTTCTTTGGTCATACCGACCACCACCTCACAAATTGTAAATATTACTTCTCCCCATCATTATATAGCCAAAACTCTGAATGGATAGATGACTATCACATAAGGTGTCAATTGGACCGGATTTGATCAAATCGGGCATGAATACCCTGGAACATTTTTGGACCAGTCCAATTCAACGTATTCTTATCTTCTATCAGTGGATCCAATCCGCCCAAATTGATTTAGATTTGGACGGCCCAACCCAAAACCGGATCATTGACAGATTGAAGTCAAATGATGCCTTGGCCCAATAACAATGAAGCCCATCCGAAATCATTCACCGAATTAATTTTCCTCAAAAACAAGAACATTCTCGATCACACACACGCACACCCAAGTGAGACAGAGAGCGAAGAAAACCGCCACAACAAGACTTACCAAAGCGCGGAGAAAAGCTAAATATTTACATTCATTAACCCTAAATTTGCAAACTGAACCAACTCCTAAGCCCAGAAAGGAGATTTGGTTGATCGTTCCATGTATTTACAGGAACCAAATAAGAAAACAAGAAAAGAGGCATCATTTCTACCATGTTCAATCAGGCGGCGGCCTTCCTAGATTTCTTCGCAGCCGGGGACTTGATCGATTTGGGTTGCTTCGGCCTCGCCGGAGTTGCCTTCTTTGCCTTCTTTGCCTTCTTCACACCAACCTTCTTCGCGGGCTTGGCGGCCTTCTTTGGTGTAGTATCAGATTTTTTTACGGATTTTGCCTTCGGAGCGGCAGAAGCGGTTTTGGGCTTCTTGGATTTCTTCTCTGCAGCAACTTTAGAGCCCTTCACAACCTTTTCCTTTTTACCCGACTCAGATAACTTGAAAGAAGCTTTAATTTTGATCAGTTTGCCCTTAGCCACACAGTTTTTCAACTGGAGGGCCAATATTTTCCTGAAATTTGCTGGAAGAACAGCCTTGTGCTTTTCTTCCATATACTTGGCAATGGCGTAAGGGCTTGATCCGCTCTTCTCGTGCAGAGCCAACAACGCTTCCTTGATCATCTGCAGAACCACAATCCACCCATTTAGATTGAAAGATCCATTTAGAAATCCCAAAAGACGTACATAAATGAAGTAAAACCACACAAATTTTAAAAACAAAAAGAATGCAAATTAAAAGGAAAAGGGAAGAAAAAAAAACAAACAAGAGAGCTTCAAACCATTCAGTGCTTTTATGGAAAACCCAATTTAGTTTCAGAGATGCTAAAACAACGTCACAAAGGAAAAAGAAATTGAATGAGGGACGTTACCTGGAAGTAAGGAGGATGAGCCGGATGAGAAGCCTTGGACGCCTTCGCCTTCTTCTCCTTGGGAGCCTTCACCTTCTTCTCCTTCACAGGCTTCTCGGGCTGAGCAGGCTTCTCCGCCACTGGAGCCTCAGCCGGCGGTTGCTCCACCGCCACCGTCGTAGCCTCACCTTCACCGGCCGACGACATCACTAGAGAACAATAACCACGGATATGAACGCTGAAGATATGAAGGAATAATGCGAAAATATTTTACTCTGACGAAATTCAAAATCACGAGCAATCACAATTTATAGCAGACTCTGGTTCTGGTCTCGAAAACAAAGCTAAACTCTAATTGGCTGGTTTCAGGTCACACGGATCGCAATCTTTTCTAAGAACCGATCTTGACCGTCCATGTGGACATTTATCTAAACGTTATATTATTAGCTTTTAACTGCATAATAGATATCTGCATTGTCTTTCCCTTCTTATCCGAAGCAAACACAGAGATGACTTGACAAAGGGTTTCCATTTGTTCCTTCCTAGAATGTGTCATTCTGTGCTTCCTTCTCATCTTTTAGCCCAAATTTCTCAGTGTCTGGTTGGTTTCTCTCGATGTTGTTTTTACTGGATTAAAGAGGAGAAACCAAGGATTCTAATGAAACCTTAATGGGTTAAAATGGTTACCATTTGAGCATCATTTTGGGGCTTCAAATAAAACCAGATTGTTAACTAATTGTGGAGTCTAGGAAAGTAAGAGACGCCAGACGCCCATTGTCTTGTTTGTTTCTTCCTTGGTGGTTATACACTTATGGTATAGCCTATACAAGCATACTAACACAAGAAAACCAAACACAAAAAGAAACAGAAAAGAAGATACCGCACTTTCAGACTGTCATTCCAGGGACATTCTAAAGATAGAAGGGGCCAAACTAGAGTAGCACAACCAAAATATCTAGCAATTAAAAGTCTTAACAACATTTCTTGAATTAGAAAAGATAGAAATTGCAAACAAAATAAAAATTATGATATTGAAAAACAAAATCAGAAAATAAAAATTGTAGAAAAACATCAAAAATTATAGAAAAACTCAGAAATTGCAAATAAATAACAAAAAATACAGGAAATTTTATAGATTGTAGAAAATAGAAAAATGTAAAAAAAATAAATAAATTATAACAAAACACTAAAAATTAAAAAAGAAAAAACAAGAAAATTGAAAACTGAAAAAGACCATTTTTCCTCTAACTCACCATTCAAGGGTAATTTGGTCACGAAAATTGTTATTTATGCTAACATGGACACCTCTATTAAGAAGCATTAATGGTACACTAACCGAAGGTGAGTTTTGGAAAAAAAAAACTTACTGATATGATGAGTTTTAGACATTTTGAAAAGTTGTGAGGAGTTTAAGAGAAATTTTGAAAACTCATGGTGAGTTTTAGACAATTTCCCATAAATTAATAATTCAAATAACATAAAAGCACTTTTAAAATCTACCTAACAAAAATAGTGTCTTCATCTAGGTGATGGTAACAACTTACATCATTTTGGGTCAAATGGGTCGATCCATGTTGTCACGATTAAATAATAAAATGAAAAAATATATAAAATAAAAGAAATAGAAATTAAAAAATTGGGATCATTTTTAACATGCATATTAGACAAAAATAAGTATGATAAATAAGAAATGTTTTTATTAATGATGGAAATGGAATGTAAATTTAAAACCAATTAGAAATAAAAATATTTTCCTATTCTACTCATTAAATCCTATATTTAAGATATATTTTTCTCATCCTTAAATTCTTGTAATTAAATCCACAATATTAATTTTAGTAGTATACAAATAAATATTTTTGAAACAAAACTGATGTAGGGTGATTTGGCCCGACCTCGTAGCACAGGGACACGTCGACATGGCCTAGCTTAAGTGACAATTCAGCATGACAACCTGGCCACTACTCGGCACAACGAGCTCGCCGAGGCCCAGCCAAACGACTCAGCGGGTGTGACAGCTCGTCAAGAAGCAAGGCCCAGCTCGCCCCGAACCTAAGGGTGGAGCACCCCGAGCTCCCCATGCAAAGAGACCCGAGCTCCTCCTGAGACTCGAGCTCTCCCTTCCTAAGAAGGAAGCACCCCAACTTTTGGCTAAGTGTCCCGAGGGAGAAACACCTCGGGACAGTACCATCGAGACTCTTGTTCGTACTTGCTTAAGGCTCGCCTCCAGTGCGGGCACCTCGGTGTACCTCGGCACCTTGGTGCAAGGCAAACCTGCCCCAGGTGGTTCGGTGCACAGTAGCTCGGCAAACTGCAGGGAGATCTGCCTGACATCCATGCTGCTTGACATCCGTACTTGTCGAATCCGGAGGCAGTGATCGGATCCCTTGCCAGGCGGCGTTCTGCCTGCCGTCTCTGAAAGGCATGGCACGCCTGACGAGTTTGTACCCTGCAATAGCAGCATGTAGCAGCAGCCTGCACCTGCCACCCCTGCCCTAGCAATAACGGCTAGGGCAGTGGCGGTTACGCCTTATGTGATCGAGCTCCAGTATAAAAGGACCCTGACCCTCACGAAGCAAAGGATTTGAAGCTAGCACTCTCAACACTCTTAACTCTCTGTGTCTTCTTTAAATTTCCTCAGAGTTCTAACTTAGCCATCGGAGTGTTCCCGCCGGGAGAGCTCCCCGGGAACCCTTCACATTCCTCTTCCTCTCAGGTGTTGTCCGTCACAACTAGGAGCAAACTCTCAACCAGCTAGGAGTGCCCAGATTGTGTTGCATCATTTGGCGCCGTCTGTGGGAACACTTCAAAAGGCCTTCCTCTAACTTCTGTGAAACCTTCTCCTAAGAACTCATCAGCAACACCTATGACTTCCTCCAGCAACGCCGAACGCCGGAACACCCCTGAGGAACAACCCCAGTTACCCATCGTCTGCATTTGGCAATTCACTGTCCCCCTCTCTGTGGACGGGGTTCCAAGTCTGAACGTGCCTCAAACGGTAGCACTCGTGACTGATCCATTGCCTTCTGCAATCGGAACAACCTTCACTGAACCCACCATCCTCCCTCCGGTGGCCAGCCAAGGTCAGCTTGAGGATCTGATGCAATGCATGCGAGCCATGCAAGCTCAGATGCAATGGTTCTAGCAACTCCAGTTCTACCAGCAGCAAGTGTTGCACCAAGTTTCTCAACATCAGTATCAGCAACAATTTCCTTCACTCCCTCCTCGGCATCTAGTTGCGTAGCCGATCTGAAGCCCGCAAACACTCCACTCGTAGGATTCAGCGGTGAGGAGGTCAGGCCATTAGGGAGAGTCACTGTACCTGTGGAGGTCGGCACCTGGCCTAGTGTGGTAAGGATCAGCCATGAGTTCCTGGTGGTCGCGACCCCCTCCCTGTACAACGCAATAGTAGGTCGGCTCATCACCCACGCCTTACGAGCAGTAGTCTCCACCTACCATCTGGCGATGAAGTTCCACATAGACTTCGGAGTCGGAGTGACGCGAGGTGATCAGCTCGAGTCCCGCAAGTGCTACGTAGCCGCCCTCAATGGAAAGGCCAAGGTAGCAAATGACCTGCGAAGCAGTTTGCGGATCAAGTCGTGCCTATCGAAGAGACCATCCCCATCTCGGCTTCGGCAGAGGACCCAGCTCGGGTACTTCAGATCGGTGCTTCTGTTGAAAAACCCTTGCAATCTCAACTGGTAAGTTTCTTACTCGAAAATTTAGATGTTTTTGCATGGTCAGCGGCAGAAATGCCCGGCATAGACTCCAGCATTATAATTCATAGGCTCAACACTGATCCTGTAGTTAAGCTCGTTAGACAGAAGAAACGCAACCTAGCCCCAGAGCGATGGAGGGCAGTCGACGAGGAAGTCGAGAAGCTCCTTGTAGCCAATTTTATCATGGAGGTTCATTACCCGAGCTGGGTAGCCAACCCCGTTCTCGTAAAAAAGGCCAACGGTAAATGGCGCATGTGTGTCGACTACACCGACCTGAACCGAGCTTGCCCAAAGGACTGCTTCCCACTTCCCATGATCGACCATCTAGTGGACGCGACCTCGGGGCATGAGTTGCTGAGCTTCCTGGATGCCTATTCGGGCTACAATCAGATCAGGATGGGCCCAGATGATGAAGAGAAAACTGCTTTCATAACCGAGTTCGGCCTGTACTGTTACAAGGTCATGCCCTTTGGGTTGAAAAACGCTGGGACCACTTTTCAAAGACTTGTAAACAAACTGTTTGAGCCACTAATTGGCAAAAAAGTAGATTGTTATGTAGACGATATGGTCGTCAAAACCCAATTTTCACATGATTACATTCAGTTTTCGAAATTTTGCGTAGATTTAATATGAAGCTAAACCCCAACAATTGTGTCTTTGGTGTCACATCAGGTAAATTTCTAGGGTACATCGTTAACCGGTGAGGCATTGAGGCCAACCCGGACTAAATCAAAGCCATCCTAGAAATGAGACCACCCCGAAAATTAAAGGAGGTCCAGAAGCTGAACGGCCGGTTAGCCGCTCTGAGCCGCTTTATGTCCAAGTCAACAGATCGCTGCCTGCCTTTCTTTAAGGTCATAAAAAGCAAAAGGCTTTGAATGGACCAAAGAGTGCCAGCTCGCGTTCGACGAGCTCAAAAGGCACCTCGCTAGCATCCCAGTCTTAACCCGACCCGAAGTGGGTGATGTTTTAGAGCTATACCTCTCAGCAAGTGACGAGGTGGTCAGCTCGGTACTAATAAGAGAAGTAGATCGGGTCCAATGACCCGTCTATTATGTTAGTAAAGTGTCGTAGGGAGCAGAGACCAGGTACCCAGAGATAGAAAAGTTAGCATATGCACTGGTTATAGCAGCCCGAAAGCTCCGCCCGTACTTCCAAGCTCACACCATCGTTATCCTTACCAACAAACCTTTGAGGCAAGTTTTGCTCAAGCCCGAGGTCTCGGGAAGGTTGATAAAGTGGGCCATCGAGCTCAGCGAGTACGAACTCCAATATAAACCGCGAACTGCTATCAAGGCCCAAGCCTTAGCAGATTTTGTCATAGAATGCACCTTTAGCTCCGAAGTCCCCAGGCCGGTGGAACACGAGGCCCCCAATACGGGAGAGCTCGGGGTTCCCGGGCTGGTTGAACCTGAGCGCCGTGAAGTAGCAACCAGCGCAACATCTCTCCTAGTTAGGCCAAGTGCGAGCTGGGACGAGGAACCTTGGATCCTTCACGTTGATGGCTCGTCAAACCGGCACAGCAGCGGAGCTGGGATTGTTCTGTAAGGGCCAAGTGG